AAATATTAAAATTTTATACAACTTAAAGAGAAAATAAAAAATTAATTTTTTAGAGTACAAACAAAAATTATATAATATGCTGAAGTTAAATTATTTATTTTGTTAAAAATATAAAAATGTATGATGAAAATTTATAACGTGTTAACCGTTTACATGTTGAGAAATCTATTTAATATTATAAAATATAAATTAATATTTCGAAAAATTATAAATATGTTTACAACATAATTATTATATTTACAAATACAAATAACTAAATAGCTAATAAGATAACATAATTATACGAAAACACAAATACTAAATTAAAAATTATATTTTAAATAATAAAATTATGTTACCCAATTAATTTTTTTGTTTTAAATTATTTTAAAGCTAAACTAAATTATTAATACAGACTTGCGCGTAGCGCGAGTATAAAATCTAGTATACCCTAAAGATTAAATGGTTAACAATTATGATTTAGATTTTTAGAGGTGGAAATTTTAAGGTTTAGGTAATAGTGTTGAGATATTAAAATTTAGGATATACTTGTATTTATGGTTGGAAATAAAAAAAATTTAAATAGATTTTCGAAGAATGTAGTTTAGCTTTTTTTTAATAAATGCTGTTTTTGTGTGTGTGTTTTTATGATAAAATTATTTTTTGTGATTTATCAAAAAATTGTCTTAAAAGAATATATATCTTGAAGTTAAGATAGATAGATTGAAAACTGAAAATAGCAAATTTTATATAAAAATGTGTAAAATGTTACTCTTAAGGGTAAAAATGTGAAAATAGCAAATTTGTTTTCTTATTAGAATTTAATTAAAAATATATTTATTAATTATAAGATTATGTTTTTTTTTTTAAAAAAAAAATGAACCTAGTTAAAAACTGATTAAAATAATAATTTATAAAATTTAATTAGCATATGATAAAAATATGGGTTGTGGATATTTAAAAAAAAAAACTAATAAGGAATATTGTAAATAACTTAAAGAAAAAAAATATTTAAGTAGCATAAATTAATACCTTTAATGAACTAAAACTATTATATACTTCTATATAAAACTGAATAAATAATAAAAATATATATTAAAAGAAATTGTTAAAACTATCACTTTCATGATACACTATTTCACATTTACATTAATCATCTTTACACTTAAAATTTTGATAGTTAAAAGACTATAATACCCTTAATTAATTAACATAAACCTATTCTTCCTCCATCTCTTTTCTTTATCGATTTGACAGAGTACGACGAGATTCAAGGACTCCGGCGAGATTCGGTGATCCCCTGTGTGATTTGACCAGACAGTCGTTATTCCGTCGAGATTTTATGATTCCGCGGCGAGTTTTGTTGATCCCCTGGTGTGATTTGACGAGACATTTAAGTATTCTCCGACGAGAAATTCAAATATTCCGTCGAGATTGAAGAAGCTCACGAGATCTACTCACAGATTTGAAAAATTTTACATCAATCGAACATGACTATCATCGGGACGAATGCTGTAGAAACGGCGGCAAAGGTACGACGATTTTTTAGCTTGATTTCTTGATCTCGTTGAAGATCATGTGCATAGTTGGGTGTTTAGTGATGTTCTCGACCAGTTTTTGGGAAGGAGACAAATATTTTCATGAATTTTATAAATCTCTTATTTATAAGACATTATAAATATTTATCGACGAAGATCTTATGTTTCAGGTTACTATGATTGAAATTTGTGATGTTTGCAGAGAATGGAAATTTGTAACTGGAAATCACTGGGATTTCATAACTGACGACAAACTTGGATCTTCTATTAGTATGATTCCCAAAGAAATGAGGTTCAATGATTTGGTTGGGTATTTGTTGAGAAGATTTTGGTACTGACTCCAACAGAATCGGTGTGAAGCTTAGTTATGCATCTCTTTCAAAAGTAAACTTTGAAAGTAAAGATATTCTTCCAGTGTTAATTAGGAACGATCGTCATGTTTCAACATATCTGAATAAACTACAACATAATGGAGGTCTTCATCTATGTTTAACATTTAAGGTAAGTACACATATTTTGTTATAATAGTTATCATTTATTTTAAAATGTAGTAGGTAGTTATCACCATTGATTGTATCAAATATGATTCAGACACGGGATGAAGTTTCTACTCAGAATTTGCTTGTTCATGGATGTAGTAATCTCCTTGAGGTATTTTTTTACAACTTCTATATTAATAATGTCTTATAATTATAATGTCTTATAATTATATTTTTACAAGATTACAAGATGTTATGTTTCAGAAACCAATGATTGCGTCAAATATGATTCAGACAAGGGATGACGTTTTGATTTCTCATGTTTTGCCTATTGCTGGAAATAGTAATCCGCTTGAGGTATATATTACAACTTTTATATTTATAAAACTTTATAAAACTATTTTACAAGATTCATTACTAGCTTTATGTTTTTATGTTTCAGGGGGAAAGACAAATATCCCCAACGATTGCGTCAAATATGACTCATACACGGGATAAAGTTTTGATTACCCATGATTTTAAAAATGCTGGAGGAACACAAATATCACCATTGATTATGTCAATTCTGACTCAGACACGTGATGAAATGTCCAGTAATCGCAATTCGCCTATTACTGAAAGTAGTAATGCATTTGAGGTACTTTTCAACACTGTTTTTTTTTAATGTTCATAATTTCAACACTGTGTTTATCTTAATGTTCATAAGGTATTATAAATTGTTTAAGA